TAGGTCCTCATGCTTACAAGGGAAGCATTTGAAAGGCAGATCTGTCTTTCCAGCTCCTTGTGGGAACTTGTAAACTCCTTTTAAAAATAGTGTTAGGTAGGTACTTATTGTCTGTCCTACTGATAACATCCACAGAACTTCCTCTGCGTAACTGCTGACTAAATTTCTAGATCATAAGGTCAAGTTTGTAGAACTCTTTCTTGTAAGGCAGACAACAGAGTCTTGACATTGCAAAGCTCCTTGACTCGCTGCCACAGGATGGAGAGTCAGCGAGGACATACCCCTTTCTCAAGAAATATCCAGTAAGAAATCAAGATACTAGAATGTGATAAACTACAAAGAAATTATTTTTATACCCTTTTGTTGCTAACATATAGAAAATTAATTGAAGACATTTCATAGATACATACAAACTATACATATTCATAGGGTACTATATGATATTTCAATGCATGTACCTGATGTGTATTGATCAGTCTAGGATAGTTGGTCTACCCATTACATTGAATGTTTATGCTTTCTTTGTGTAGAAAATATCTAAATCCTTTACCAACTATCATGTAGTATTCGCTTATTGCCAGGCACAAACATTCTACTGTACTATAGATTAGACATTATCATTTCTGCCCAACCACACCCCGTACCCTTTTCCCCATCTCTGTCCTGCCCCCCTCAGCCTCTGGTAGCCAGTATTCTATTCTCTACTTGTATAACATTAAATTTTGAAACCCCCACAAATGCATGCAAATGTGTAATTTTTTTAATTGTAGAGTAACTGGTTTGTTGAGCTCAACTCTTTCCAGATCTGTCCACATTGCATGCATTGTGGTTTCATTCTCATTGAAGGCAAGCTCAGCAATACGAAAAGTGATCAAAATTTCCTTCTTGCCTTTGCCTCGGGTGCTTGAGGCTCTCCAGCAACCTGTGTTTTGTTTGTAAATCTCTGCCAGAGGGGAACCTGCATATGTTTATGCAGCATCCACCCAGGTGTATGAGGGTGATAACCTCAGAGGGGAACCTGCAGGTGTTTATACAGAATCCATCCAGGTGTATGAGGGTGATAACCTCAGAGGGGAACCTGCAGGTGTTTCTGCAGCATCCATCCAGGTGTATGAGGGTGATAACCTCAGAGGGGAACCTGCAGGTGTTTCTGCAGCATCCATCCAGGTATATGAGGATGATATCCACGGAAAACTTTGAGACTGGGTGAAGTACAAGTTCAAAAGGCTGGAGGTTCTCCTGTCCCTTATTCGGGTGCTCCTTGCTGAAGTGCCTAATGAAAGGGAAGCCTAAAGTCTTAAGTGCAGCTCAGCATTCCTAAGAAAACCAGTTCCTGTGCATGCTAAGTGGGCTGCTTGCTCCTACTGATTGAATGCACCTTGGTATTCACCAGAAAAGCACAGCCACACTTATTCAGGATACAGACATCACTGGAGTTATAGCTGACTAATGTTCTTGGATCTAAATAAGGAAGGGATTACAGGCATTTTAATTTACAGCCTTGGGTTTTACCCACTAAGTTCAAGGGATTTGAAGAGAAACAATTACTTGACAAAGGCATTCAATGGCAGTAAAAATTTCTGCCTCTCTGACTTAAGCAACTGAAAAGCTGGGCTGTTCCTCCTTTGAGCATTTGCACACTTCCTGGCTTATTTGGAGCTGGCAGGATAAGAGATCAAAGATGACTAGAGATCCTGTACTGAGTCCGATGAATGTTAGATGAAAGTTGGGTGCCATTTATTGGTTTCTTTTGTAACTGGAAAGAATATGTCATTCACCAAGTTGAATCAAAACTTAGGAACAGTGTCTCTTGTATATTTTGGATGAGAATATAGGTATTTGGCTATCATGCAGCAAAGAGAATCATACTTGGTAACAGCTCAAAGGTCTCCCTCTGAGCCATCTGGGCTCTAGGATTGGGGAAGCCACTGTCTTTGCTTCAATAGGGTCCTATTTGTTCCATGGTTTTGGATTTATTGTTAGAGAGGCCAAGATGCTGGACACTGTCATACCCATCCCCACCTCCTTTGTGTGTAGGTGTGTGCTAATACCTGAGGATCTTTTGCTTTAGTATAGAGGAAAAATAAAATTTTCTTAGCTTTGCTTGGAGTCTGTCCTCTCTCGTGTCACTTGTGATTAATGCTATGGGCCAGCATGAGGCCAACACCTCAAGGATGCTGCTGATGTGACGTTAAACACTTACTTCAGTTTGGTTTTCTATTGAAACCAGTTTCTGTAAGTTGAAGGTGCACCCTTATCACTAGCGAAGGCTGCATCTAAGCTGTTACTTTGAAAAGAGCTCTGCCTGCTCTTATTCGGGGTGTTTCTGCCGCTGGCCTTCATGCTTGGTTCTCAACTATGACTCTCAATACTTAGTCTCCTGTAAAGAAGCATGAAGGAATAAGAGGAAAAGCAAAAGCTTGGTAAAATAAACTCCTGTGATAACAAATGGCCAACCATTCTTCTGTTGCTTGGTGTTTCCTTAGAAACACTCTTGGGACACAGAAAAAAAAAAAGAGGCTTCCAATGCGGGGAGGTCTATGGAGGACAGGCAGGATTCCAAGAATGGCTCCCTTTCCAAAAAGCAGGAATTGGTAAATGACTCAATTTGCATATCATGCCTGGAACAAGACTTGATTTCTTCATAAATAGGACAGGAGAAGTAGCTTTTACCTAGCCTGTTCTCTGTAAATATTACTGAGATGGAAGGGAAGTGTTCAGCCTTGTGTCCAGTAAGAGACTTGGAGAGGCAGAATCAGTGCACCACAGACAAGACACATCTGTCTGTTCTTACACTTGGTTTCCCTATTTACACCTCCTACTCAGAGACCCATTATCTGTAGGTCTGGGTCTTATTTCTGTCCTCACTACTATTTCCTAGTGGTTCCCTTTGATGGTCCCCCCAATAGTTGTATATTGCTTGAGCTTATGGACAGTCAGTGGTTTTTGAAGTTAATCTGAGTTAGAATTCATAGACTCCTTAACCTTTAGAACTTTATTTGAAAGATAAGGGAGAGGAAGTCTAGGGAAAGTATTTAATGTTCTCTAAGTCATGCTATTTTCCAAATATGGATTTCTGGATTGTCAAGATTGTTTTACACACATATACACACAATTGTTTTATACACAAAGGGTTTATGAGTCCTTTGAGCCTAGAAGGGCAAACCTTGGGATGTGGACTGAAATGAGATCCTTTCTGAAGGGGAGAGAAGATTTTTAATGAGATGCTTAAAAGTTGTATGGTCTTGTTCAGGAAGACCAGCTCTCTATTTCCAGAATAGAATCTAGCCTGCTTATAAACAAATGTGAGGCAGCCTGGGTGAAAATCCTTGTGGACCACAAACATCTGCAGAAATATGTTGTTTTCTATAATCACACAACAGTTATATGAATATCTGTGTGTGCATCGTAGTAACTAGTGTGTTAAAAATGTCATTTGCACAAAGCTGAACCTTCATGTAAGTATTTTAGATAAGGTTTGATTTATAGCCATCAGGAGTAGAGAGTCTCAGAATTTTGTATCTTGAGGTTAAGAACAGGGAAAAAACACCCCTGGGACTCTGCTGTCCTGGAGTCCCTGCCAACCCCTCGGGTACTGCAAGCCCCTTTCTCCTAGGGAGTCAGGACATGTTGTCTTTGAAGGGCTGATTCTACAGAGAAGGGCAGGTCACAAGCCACCTGCTTTCTGAGTCTTGGTGGATATTTACTGGATTGCTGGGATTACCTACTCTATATATGTAAAGAAGTAAGCACAGTCCTGATGCCTTGTGATATAGCCATATGTAGCATGCAGGCCCGGCACTGAGTGTCAGCGAAAGGGAGGTCTTCGGATGACACAGGTGGCAGAGGCTTCCAGAACTGTGCGGAAAGTGAAACAGAGGCAGTATATAGATCAGGCTGAGCAAAGGCCACAGTCAGTCTCCTGTTTGCTGAGGGCTTAGGTGGGGATAATACAAACACACTGTAGAAGAGGCTAGGGCCCTTGCTTGTAATCCTGGTGCCACCACCACCTACCCGGGAGACCTGAAGAAGAATCTCACTGGTTCTCCATTTTTCTCATTTCATGTGCACATGAGCGTGTGTGTGTGTGTGTGTGTGTGTGTGTGTGTTTGTGATAGCTATGGCCCCGCCCTTCTGTTTATTGTATCTTCTGCCTTGAAGAAAAGTATTTTATTTGGTCCCATTCATGTCAACCGTGCCTAATCTGAAGGAAGATATCCTGGCTTAAGTATAAGTCTTAAGGGCAATTCACTTTCCTCACTTCCTAGGGTCTTTTGAGATGAGAATCCAGAGAATACGTGGGTACGGACGTACTACATAGACGGCAGCAGATCATGGCTTCATCTCCTCCAGTTTTCTAAGGAGTAGGCTCCGTAGAAAGTCCAGACTATGAAAGAAATTCCTTTCCTTTTAGAGAGTATTCACAGAACACTCTTTTGGCCACAGCAAAGGAAAATAAAATCAATAATGCTATATTTTATAAAAGATGGAAACTGTGCGTGTTTGACTTGGAACCTTTTATCATCTTTCTCTGGTTCTCAGGGGGGGATAAAATGACCGAGCTACTTTTTGCATTAAGAAGGAGGAATTAGCGGGCCTGTTTGTTTCTTTTTGTTTTCTATAAAAATATACACTCTTTTTCTTTCTAAACTCCCGAAGTCAACTTTGAGAGTGGTATAGAAAATCTTCTGGGCTGAGTTTAGCTAAATCATTTTATTGCAGATTAAAGTCAAAGGCTCATTCCCCCTACGGTGATGTGTATTCAGATGATACTGACTCCGGATGTTTATTGCTGTCTAGGGGTGAAGGTGGGGGAGGGGAGGGTCAGGAGGGCTGGGATGTCCGTATGTGTAGTTTTTCTCTTCCACATGGCCATTATAGTTGAAGGGATGGGAGAGTGTAGTAGCTTTTGGGCATGGGAGGGTAAGAAGGAATTTGCTTCCATTGACCATGCATTGCAGGAAAATCCCTGTTACTGATCTTTGGCCTCTGCTTTTCAGATCAGACTCCAACACCCACGAGATTCCTGAAGAACTGTGAAGAGGTGGGTCTCTTCAGTGAGCTGGACTGCTCCTTCGAGCATGAGTTCAGGAAGGCTCAAGAAGAAGAGAACAGCAAGCGGGTAGGTGGGCCTGGGTGGACCCTAGAGGTGTGGGTCCCCAGCGTCATGTGGAACATGTCTGGCGCTGCAATCTGTATCGAGGTGTTCTTAATGCACAATGTTCCGACTCAGTCTCCCCGTGAGGCCTGTTTGTGATGGTGTTTTAATGTATTTGTGCGTGCCTCGTCAACCTTTTTCTTTTAAGGTGATGTATCTCTGATGGTGATAGCACACAGAGCTGAGGTTCAAGTATCTGAAACATGGAATTCAAGCTTTAGAAAAATATGACCTTATTATTCTTAAAGCCGTGTCAGATAAACCACCTGCAAACAGGTATTTTTTTTTTCTTTGCTAAGTATTTAACATCAGATCTTATATAGGCAGTGTGTTCAAAAAAAGACCAGGCCAAAAGGGCAAGAACAGCTGATTCATCAAATGGCAGGAAACAGGATTTTCATCTGATTTGGACCCTGCTGGCAACTCTCTGTTTTCCATGATCATTGGTTGTTTTCTACCAGATGCGAAATCACTTTCTGGTCACTTTCCCTGGTCAGGCCACTGAGCATAGACTGTTGGTGAGTGAGGCACACAGAGTAGCTACAACTGTGGGTCACTTCACAAAATCCTTCAGAGGTTTTTTTTTTGTTTTTTTTTTTGTTTTTTTTTGTCCATATTATTGTGGTAGAATTTTAAAACCTACTAACAAGATAAGCAAAGGAGGAAGGGTCACGGGTAAATTTGACAAGTGTGCTTTTCATGAATTCTTTGTTACTGTCACAGGATGTCACTGAGGGCACAGTGTACTGAACATGCTAGACACAGTCCCTGGACAGAAATGCAAAATGTAGACGATGGTTTAAAGGGTCAAACAGTGGCAAGGAAACCTTGAAAGGAACTTTTAAAAGGCTCTGATATTTTTCTACCTGCTTCCAAGTCTCTGGCTCCTCCTCTGTGTGAAATGACAGTAATCCCTCTCCGTCCAGATTTTTGTGTCCCGTGCATACACTGGGCTAGCTCAGGGCAGGCTCACGGTGGTGACCAGGCTGCGTTCCTTTAGCAAAGTGCATGACATTTCTAGGAGGAGCACAAAATCACAGTCACCCCGCTTTATGTATAACTATAACTTTATTTAGACTAGTCCTTCCCTCTCCTGTCCCCACTTCTCCAGTCTTCATATCTGTTGTTCTTTGCTGGGCAAATCACTTTCAGAACCCATCACAAAGTCTAGAAGACACAACTAGATTTCATTGGGGTACTTACAAACTTTAACATCCCATGAGAATAACAAAAGAGAATCCGGGAGTCCCATTCAGTAAATTCCCCCTGCTTGAGTAATGAGCTTAGTTCTTCTGATCGATTTGCATTTGTAGAAGACTGTTTGAGGAATCAGTGTCGTTCATTTCCCCCAGACAGTCGAAGTGAGTTTCTTTGATTATGATAAAGACGTGGGTGTGATCAATGCTATCTTCATATTCCTTGCGATAGAATGGTGGTAAGCCCATGCCCTTTATTTTCCTAAAGATCTTTTCCCCCTGACAGGTTCTGTACAGCTTCAGCTGGGGGTGTGGCTTTAGACGTGCTCCTGGTGAGTTATTCATGACTCTCCATGTGACGCCGGCCACCTCCTGCAAGCAGTTCTTGCAGATCTGAATTCCAGGAAATGGTTTGCTTCCCCTGAGGAACTTGGGCATTTTTCTGCTGTGGCTAGGAGAAGCGTGTACCGGTTGTGTTTCTCTTTTTGCTCTGCCTGCTGGATTATCACAAAACCAAGGGTACTGCTTAACTTGGAGAGCATTTTAGACCGCTATAATGAGTAACATTTTACTTCCTCCGTCTACCAGACTTTCAGTTCTAGTTTATATTTCCTCTGGTCGTCATTTCTAATTAAGCAAAAATATTTTCATGCTATACATGTTTGGTGAATTGCCTTCAATTTCTCGTAGGCTGAGAAGACATGAACTCATTAAAACTTAAAAATTACATCATGAAATCAGCAACACCGAGCAAGAGTGCTGTGGTACATGGCAGGATCATGTTTTTCTCGTGTTCATGCGTTGCTCATTGCCGTGGGATTGCTCATGATGGGTGTGAAGGAATGACCGCAGACAGGCCCTCCAGGACACCACCACAAGTCCTGGGAACCAGGCAGCCTTCAGCTTGTGGAGGCTCCCTCTTGCTCTGTTTGGTTCAAACCAGAGGGACCAAATCCAGCCTTGGGTGGCCATCACCACAGGAGGGGACTTCTCCCCAGTGACTAATGCACTGTGACTCACTCCCAGCAAAGTGGCTGTGTTGGTGGTGGCTTATCCGCTGGCATGATTTAGCAGCACTGGGCGGGGATGGCACAGAAGCATCAATGTTCCCGATCTGAAGGTGTGCTTTTGCCTCCCTCCAAGATGGCAGTTCTCCAGCTATTAGCATCCCTGTAGCTCCCGCTTCACGTATTCTCTTGCTGCTTAGAAAAAGTAGGGACAAAGTCCACACTCGCTGAGTTCTGTGTTTCCCAGTGATCCTCTCCTTCTGCCCTTTTGCTATCCATTCAGGTGCTGATGCATTTTCAGGAAGGTTTTTCTTCCCAGGGTTCAGGGGAGGCCTAGGGCTTCATGTATGACAGATAAACATTATGTCACGGGGTAGATCCCTAACTCCAATTATTTCCCTTTCATTCTAAACCTCAGCTTTTTCTGATTTCTTTACCGGAGACTCCTTTCCCTCCCTCCTTTCCCCCGTGTAGTACACATGTGATCATGTGGGTAAGCATGCCATGCTTGGCTTTCATGTGGGTACGGGGCATCTGAACTCAGGTCTGTATGCTTGCATGGCATCTCCTCAGCCCATTCTTGACTTCAGTCTTCGAATAGAAAGTACTTGCATTGCTTCATCAGTAGAATTGGATGAAATGGAAGATATTTTCACTAAGTTAGAGAACTTGATTTAAATGGTCCTGGGCTTCACTTGTAGATTCCTAGCTGTAGGGTTGGAAAATTCAGATTAGAGGCAAATAGAGAATGGATTCTTACTAGATTAGATTTAGATTCCCATTGAAACAATTCTGGTTTTTTGTTTGTTTGTTTGTTTTAACTCTGAATTTGATTGTGACATCCTTTTCCAAAATAATCTTAGCATGTATAAGGAATGAAAGGTTACGTCAGGTCATGGCTGGGCAGTAGATAACAGACTCCAACATTACCTCTATTTCTGATACTAAGAATTACTCATTGCCTGGGTTTTTGATCCTACTGTACCTATTGGTTTCATGGGAGCCTAGGCAGTTTGGATGCTCACTTTACTAGACCTGGATGGAGGAGGGTGGTCCTTGGACTTCCCACAGGGCAGGGAACCCTGATTGCTCTTTGGGCTGAAGAGGGGGGGGGGAGAGGGGGGGGGGGGGGGGAGGGAAAGGGGAGGCGGCGGTGGGGAAGAGACAGAAATCTTTAATAAATAAAAAAAACAAAAACAAAACACAAATAAAAGAAAAGAAAAAGAAAACAAAATTCTAGAGACAACTTGGAAAACAGAATACCCTTAGAAATGAAATTCTACCCCCAACACAAGTAGAGAAGGTATTCTGTCTATGCTTGTTGGGTTTACATATTTCAAAAGGAAGCTCAAAGGAAGCTGTGTTGACTTTTTGCTTATTGTTCACTTTTAAAATAACATTTTCTCTCATCCAGAGAAGTGGATACCATTTTTATTTTTTAAAATTAAAAGAGAGATGCATTAGAAAAAAAAAAAAAAGAATTACTCATTGCCTCGTAACTCTTCCGAGGGAAAATCCCAGATTGAGAGAGGGTTATAGCTCTCTAGTAAGCATTGCAAAGCTCGGCTTGCCCATGGCTTAGAACTCAGAAGCCTGTACTCCAAAATGCACAACTTTTTCATTAGCCTCCATTCATAAAATGTTTTAGGGTCATCACAATACATCAAGTACTGTCCGAGTCACCAATGAAGACACCAACGAATATAAATGATTAGAAAAACAAGCAAGCATTAAAACACCTCAGTCCTCAGATGCCTAACTTTTTATGGACCAGACAGATAACACACCAGTGAAAAATGCCCTTGGTAGGCAGGTGCTATGGAGTTATAGTCCACGGTGGGCAGGTGCTGTGGACTTATCCCCATGGTGGGCAGGTGCTGTGGAGTTATACCCCACGGTGGGCAGGTGCTGTGGATTTAATGCAGCTGTGAGGGAGTTCAGAATGGGCTGGGTGTGGGCAGAGAGGGCATCCCAATCCTGTGAGCCCAGAGACTCGGTAGAAGCCTGAGAAGACGGCCTGAGCGAACAGAGAAAGGATGTGTAAAGGCCTGAGGCCAGATGGTGGGATGCATGTTGGAAAAGTTCTGAAGAGAAAGAAGTACAGCCGCAGAAGCATGTGTGAGAGAGCTCGGTGTGGGGAGGCAGACCCAGGAGGGCACTGCAGGCCATGTGAAGGGTTCGGTTTTGACAATGACTCAAAACGAGATGGGGAACCATAGGGCAGTTCTGAGCAGAGAACTGACAGGGCCCGATGCAGTGCTTTAGAAAAGTCATTTGACTGTTGAGTGGAAAGCCGGTGGTTGGAGGCAGAAAAGGAAAATACTTAAGGAAGAAATGAAAGACATCTGGGCGGATGTTGGTAGTATATTTGCCTAAAACAGAGATGGAGGATGTGGCTGGGATCTAAGTATATTTTAAGGACAAAGGTGATAGATAGTTTTGCTGGTAGAATGTATTGGCAGCAACAGGAAGGGGAGACTCAAAAAGCTCCTGGGTTTTCCACTTGTGCTACTGGAGGGATGGAAGAACAGGGTTAGAGAAGGTCGGTGTTTGACTTCATGAGACCGAAGGGACTCACTTCTGACAGGAATGTGTGTGAAGGTGAGGTCTAAACATGGAGCTGGCAGAGTTGTCCAGCTCTTTCCAGTTCAGACTTCATTCAACCCTGCTCAGAGGAAACTGAGGCAGGAAGAACAAGATGGAGGCCCAGCTCTTTCAGAGATTCTGAGGAGGAAATTGTGGTATAGATTTTGCGGTCCAA